AGCCCCTTTGCACTGTGATCACGTAAAATCCCATGGACATTAACAACAAAGTAGTAACGTGGTAATCGAAGGACGGCAATAAGAACACAGGGCAGTTTGGCAGCTTCTAAAACGTAAACATAAACACACCTGACTTGAATCTCCCCACTTGCCCCAATTGAACGTACGACACTCAACACAGGGCACTGTCTCAAATACTGTAACACACAGACGTTGGCACCATGGATGGATTCTGAGATAACACAGAAAAAGGCCTCCCCCCTCCTGCACAGGAGCAGGACCCCACAGGGAAAGTCGTGGTCGTCTTGCATCTCTCTATCGTCATCTTTAGCCTCTTTTGGTTTTTTCGCGTCTCTTTATTTTTCCCGTTGCGGCCATTTTATGTCTATTTGTCATCATCTTGCACTGAATCTTTTCAGGTTCACCTCATTCACTAGTTCATCCGTGCCTGAGACAGAAATATTACTGAAAAGTGACATCCTCGATGAAGCTCACTCTTGAGCACATGAAGCTATCGAGAAATAGTTTGCATTGTGATGTTGGTTTCCTGTAGAACAATGGACTCCAAAATACCAAGGAAGACAAAAACGTACTGAGAAGATGGCGTAACAATATATAAATCATAAATCTTTGCAGATGAATCTGTTTGACGTCCAACAAACTTCACCGGGGAAGCTCAACAATTTAGATCAACAATTTCCCACTTGTCTGAGATTTGAGAACAATTCAAAGACATGTCAGTAATTTGAGACAGTGCCTGAACCTAATCTGGCGGTAACTAGCCTACCTACGCTACAGTACATACCTACCTACATAAGAATGTGAGATATTGCACTTGGTCACAAAACATTGTCTTCATTGTTTTTTGTTTTTCTTTTACAGCATGTGAAAATCTACTAAATTAAGTCACTGTCTGAGACGCACAGTACAGTATGGCACTTAGTTGATGTCTAAGTTTGGAAACATGCAGATTCAATACACATGATCACGTTTCACTGCAGCAGGGAACGAGGGAGGAACGGCCAGAGCACGCTGAAGCTAAAGAAACATTCCCCGTAACGGCTTCAATGAATGAAAGGAGGAAGATGAATGAAGGTGCCACATGTGAGTGCCCTCTGCGCTATATTTAGTAACCTAACACTGCTTTGTGGTGGAGTCGCTCAATTGTTAATGCCTTCATCTGTTTTTCTTTTGCCAAAATAGGGTTTGAATACTGCAAAGTGGCCTCCTGTTCTATATCTCCACTTCTTGGTTTTTCTTTATTTTTTCATTTCTTTTCACCTGCTCTGATCCGAGGACGCTGCGTTCAACACAACCGCAGGTCCGGAAAAGTGCAGAGGAAGCTGGAATGTTGAGGAAGGAGCGTGAACAAGACGAGGAGACGGAGAAGCGGAGGCCACTTTTAACAGTTACTGAAAAATCAGATCAACACATAAACAACTGCACGTGTAACATCACAGGAAGCGATTTTTCTTTAACTTTTCATCCCTTTCCTCCGAGCTTCCTCTTCCACCATCGGGTCTGTCAGCTCTAGTAAATGGGAACCTGGTATGTGGGTGCTGCGTTGTTCTCAGTGAAAGGTGGGCTCTGGTAGGTCTCTGTGGTCTCAGTGGTTCCGCCTACTGGTGAGTTGGAGGGGTACGGCTGGGTGGGTGCGCCGCCATCCATGTGCTCCGTGGTGAACAGGGTCATGTCTGTACCCAGCAGATACTTCTGGACCGCACGCACCGTTAGACCCGCCTACAGGGGGCAGCAGGGTGGAGACAGAGAGGGGCAGAGTTAAGAAAAAGCTGCTCTCGTTACTGCACTACTCACATTAATTCAATGAAATAACACAACAGCCCCTGGTGGAAACAGCTAGCTTCACTCTGTTTAACTCGTAGGCCTTTTGTAAACAAAGGCTCTAACTCTGGGTCAGGAAAGTGAAGCCAATGCGGACGTGCCTGGGACCTAAGTTCTCTCTAATCACCAGCAGAGGGTGACTTAGTTAGGCTAATTGTTTTTATTTTATGATTTGTGTCCGTCCAAATCCATCCCTTCAACACAAAGATGTTGATATAATCTTAAAGTAGATGCAGTGCACAAGAGCAACTGTGGTTCAGCAGATGCGTAACCAGTTTCAACTTAAATTGATTCAGTTGTGGATGACTGGTCACAGTTTGGGTCATGGATGGATCAGACAGGGGCCTGACTGATGGAGGAGGAGGAGGAGGAGGAGGAAGAGGAGGAGGAGGAGGAGGAGGAGGAGGAGGAGGAGCAGGAGGAGCAGGAGGAGGAGGAAGAGGAGGAGGAGGAGGAGGAGGCCTTAATCCTGAGCCTTTGTTTGAAGTTATGTTAATTTTTCTCTTTGAAAAGTCAAACAGCTCAGTAAAAAAAGGAATGTCCAACTCCTGATCCCAGAGTTTAGATTAGATTAGTTTAGTTTACTGACTTCCTTGAACGTAGATCTTGTAGTTTAACTTTAAGTTAATTTAGTAGTAACTCATTTTTTCCGACTAAGGCTCAATATCTGACCTTGTACCTCGTATAACTCAGTAGACTGAAACTTAATTTTATATCCACAAAGGTCTGTGTGACCATTCATTGCATGTGTTGGTATTGTTGCATATGTGTGTGTTTGTGTAGTTGCATGTCCTCACCCAGGTGATTATGGAGAAGAAAGAGAAAGCGATCGCTGCCCGAGCTGCGTCCGCCCCCTGGTTGAGTGGCAGCTCATCAGCCGTGGTTCGAGACCACTGATTGGCCAGGAAACAGAAACTTACAAAGTACAGGAAGGTCCAGAAACCTGTCAGAACACGACATCATGTTACAAGAGAAATTAAGATGATTACGTGTAGTATTTCGTGTCGTAGCCACCTGAAGCTGCTCGTTGTTCCCTTTTTCTATATTAAAAATAGTCTTTTATGTCTGACATCTGCCCGTTTACAGGTTTCATCTCTCTTGTTCTCGTGCATGAAAGCATCATCTGGAACAAAGAAGTGAGTGTGCTTCGTGTTTTGGGGAAATCCCTTTGAATACAGCCTTTGAAACTGATCAAGCATTTAAAAGGAGACTATTTATGGCTTATGTGTTTCTAAAGTTGACCCACTGAGAGTATAATCATCGTGAAACATTTCCACGGGACTGACAACGCTGCTCTCTGCTGTCAACTGTGTTTTGCATGTGTCTTTAGATCCAAGTGCACGTGGTCAGCTCCTCACCTGAGAAGCCAATCTCAAGCATGATGGCCTTCTTCCTGTCTTTGACAGAGCTGATGGAGGAGAACTTGTAGTCGAGGAGGAAGAAGAAGGAGCATGCCAGCAGGCCCACGAGGCCCATGAACACGCCGTAGTTACAGGCGTCTGCGTTCTTGTTGAAGATGCAGTGGAGACGCTCACTGCCCATGTTGACATAGCCCTCGTTCACGATGGAGGCGAAGACCACCAGGGAAAATATCTGAAGATGGAAAGAAGAGAGGAACGTTAACTTAGAACTCTCTCTCCTTTTATTTCTGTCTCTTTAACAGGCACAAAAACACGGTGGCAGGCTCACTGGGAACAAGACTGAGGCAGCGCTGAGAGAGAGAGAGAGAGAGAGTGTGCGTGGCTTAGACCAGAAGCATTAACCTAATTTCTTCTCTCTCTCTCTCTCTCTCTCTGACTGACTGAAGAGGTGGATGCTTCACTTCCCCTTAAGAATCACATCATCCCAAGGCTGTGTGTGTGTGTGTGTGTGTGTGTGTGTGTGTGTGTGTGTGTNTGTGTGTGTGTGTGTGTGTGTGTGTGTGTGTGCCGAGTGAGGAAACATGATAAAGGTTGCTATGGCTTGTGTTCTACCACTTTTCCTCATTAGCAAATTCCATTCTTATCAATAACAACCCTATAGCTGCATGTGATCTCTCTGGTTTCTCCTCTGTCGTCCTCTCACTCCCTCTGCTCTGGACTCACACACTGACTATGATCAGCTGACTAACACTCCATGGCAGAATAGGGCCATGTGACACACACACACACACACACACACACACGGAACACACTTGGGGGTTTGGGTCATATGATGGTGGAGGTTCACACACACACAATGGGATAATGTCAGGTCCACATTTTAAACTAATCACATGTGTGGATATAATCTGAGCAGACACAAACTGGTGCTTTTGATGAATCAGGCTGATGAAGCTCCGAAACGGAAGGAGAATGGCAGGATTTTAAAACACGAGAGCATGTGGGGAGTGCTTCGAGGGAAAGTCAACTACTGACTGTTTTCTCTGTCATTTATTTTTTAACTCTGTTGGTTGGTTGGTAGGTTTGTAAGCAAGATTACGCAACAATTACTGCACAGATTACCAGGAAACTTGGATGTCAGGGTAAAATAAGAGTCAGGGAAGGATCCAGGAATTTGTTTTCTCTTTTTGTCATTACCAGATACAGCACTTTTTTTTTACGTTTTCATTGATTTCGCAAGGAATAAATTATGGAATCAGACCCATTTAAGGAACTCATATCCAAACGTGTAGTGCGTATTATTTATTCAATTTGAGCAATCTGGTGCAGTTGGACTGAAATTAAGTGACGATCTTACACAAGTACAGTTTTTATCATTCTTATCGGTTATTAATAGATAACGTGGTAACCATTACTCTACTGTTTCACACAACCATTGTACAATGATTTGCACTTTTTTGTCTTAGTTCCTTTTATTTTATTTCACTTGCGTTCCCTCCACCTTCTTTATTCACTTTATAATTAGACTCTCTGTGTAGGATGATGTGAAAATGAAAAGAAAAGCAGATTTGGCAACATGATAAGAATATAAGAGGTTGAAGTGAAAATATCTCTAGTGGATTTCATTTAAAGGTTCAGTTTTTTCTAGTGTGTTTCATCTAAAACTGTTGTTTCTTCACTCTAGAATGGCCCTTTATATTTAAATACTTTATATTAACATCAGGAGCGGGTCCTCTCTACGCAGGCCGCCATGTTTTTCTCCACTATGACTGGACAAACTAAACACCTTTTGAGTTTATGACAACTGAAGCTACCACAGGTTCTCTGTCATGTTTGGAAGCGGAGGGTGAGGTGGGGAGTCTTCAGCTGCAACATGCAACTTCACCACTAGATGTCACTAAATTCTACACACGGAACCTTTAAAGCCTTTACTTCTGACCCTTATAACCACCAGACTAATGATAAAAAGCTCCATGGCTCAGCTACAACATGGTTCATATGCACTGATGCAGCAGTGTTGACACTGTGGTGAAGGCTCAGTGATTAGTCACCCTCACCTGCTACAAAGCCCGGATCAAGATGAACAAATAAAACCCAACCACAGACGCTCATGATGAGGATGAGGTGACTTCTCCTCTGTGTGTGTGTTTTATTTCAGACATCTGTGCTGGAGAGGAACATCTTCTCCGTGTCACCCAAAGGTGACGCGCTACATCAAACGTCAGGGCACGACGCGTCTCCGCGCGGCCCCTGCATGCGTGCGTAATGGTGTCCGCGGACCAATCACAGGTGAGGTGACGGACGACGACCGTTTCAGGGTAAATCGGCAAAAATCATATGAGCTGATAATGTGATTGAGATTAAAAACCGTGTGTGTGTGTGTGTGGCCAATAACGCAAATGTGTTTTACATGCAGAAATAAAATAATGATTATCAGCAGCAGCGGGGACGAGCGGGCTGCTGAATAAGAATTTCCCTTTTTCAATCCATCCCGGGTCCGTTCTGCTGCACATCTGCGCGTCTTCAGGATAAATGTGTTAAAGCAAAAGCGTGTAGGTGAAGATGGAGTCAATGCTAATAAACATCTGTAGGGAAACCAGTGTCATGGTGTCAGATACCCGCCAGGCCTGCTGGGTTACACCCTGTACCGATCCATAAATACTCTGCATCAATTCCTGGGTTTCATTCCATTTTACGCACGGTGCTTATTCACCGCGCCAGGGTTTGCGGGGTCTTGTGTTTGCAGTGAGAACACGTCACGAGTCTGGCACCGCAACGACAACACAGAGGACCCCCCCCCCCTTCCACACGCACACAGACGCGCACAAACACATAAACAGCAGCACCACAATAAATAAATATATATATATATAAAAACGCGCTCCTACCCATGACAGCACTCTGAGGATGGTCTGCGGCTGTTTGGCGAAGGCGATCGGGTCGATGGTGGACCCGGTCCGGCCCGCTCCGAACGATCCCACTCCGTCCATCTTCTGTGGCTCTCTCTCGGTGCGCTCCTGGCGGCTCCACGCTCCCGGCTCCACGGCTCCGCGGCAGGCTGCTGCTGTAGGGACGGGTCCTGCATGCGCGCACCCAGAGGCGCGCGGGCACGGCGGCGGTCGCGGTGAGTAGAGGGGGGGGGGTTGCTCGTGCCCGCGCTGTACAGATTGACTGTATGTTTATTTTTACAGCCACAATGTGTAACTGCATGGAACTCAAGATATAAAATATAAAACCATCAGTTAATTGAGTATTTTAATTTAATTTACTGCTTACTTCCCTTTTTCTACTCATACGGATGTGGGCCACTTCCTGAAAAGATGGGTCACTTCTGGCCTTTCTTGTGGCCCAAACAAAATGGATGTGAACCTAAGGTTGCCCAGTTGTCAAATAGTAAATATGGCCCAAATATCCCAAGATAAATGGCAAACAATTGGTGCTCTATATCGGCAAAGTGTAATCTGGATGTGAACCTGGGAAAGTGGCCCGTGCGGTAAATGGTGGATATTTTTGGGCCACCTTTGGTTGATGGCCCAGACCTGACAGAAAGGAGTGGACCGCCCAATCATTTAAAATTCCCCACAACTGTGAGCATGACCTCATATATGTCAAAAGCAGATACGGCTCTGCAGCTTTTACAAAGGTAAAGTGAATGTTGTCCTCGAGGGCCATACAGGCTGTCAAAGAAAAACTATATACGGTGTGAAAAATTCCTGCCTGACTCGTTTGATCATTCTAACACATTCCTAATTCATGAGCCATGGCATGAAAAGCAGTCGCGTGATAATGTCGCTGGGCCAAACACTGGAAGAAGTATAGTCATAAGTTTCTTTTCATGGGATATTGACAATAATCACGACATGTGACCAAAGTGGTGTCATCAGTAATGCTTGTTCTGTCTGCGCTACAGCCAAAACACAATTTACACTGACAGGAAATGAAGAATCACTTTTGTGACGTAACCAACAACATTTCTGTATCTTTTTTAATGATGCAAAATAACAATTCATTAGAATGTTAAATAATTTCAGCACTAAATCATACACATTAAGGAACAGGTTCAGAACCTTAAAACAGACACACACACACACAAAGTGGTTCAAGAAAATACATTATGTAATCATTACTATGTCAAATATAAATCTATATATTTCTGTGACATTTTTGGTATTTTTATTTTATAGGAGAAATTTCAAATTAATCAAATTAATTAAGATTTTCTGAGTTGTTTTAAATAATCTGGGTAAAACCAGATTTAGAGAACGTAGTGAGTACACAGATAAAAGGTTGAGAACAAGTTTCCCTCCATGTTTTCAGTTTCAATATATTTATAACTCTCATTAACTTGAATTAACAACAGGTCCTGAAAAACTTATGAGTGTTAAGTCCTGACTTGAGAAACAGTTTGTTTTCTATCCTTAACTTTTATTTTCACATCAGTTATAATGACGGACCACAAAGCAGGACCTCACTCTTCAGATTAAGTTTTTCCACAACGTGAGACGTTGAGAGTTTGTTCCCACTCAAAAGATTTGCACTGACAGGAAGGAGTTGTTGTCACAGGTTCTCTGCCTCAGTCCTCACATCTGTAAGTGCTCCAGACACAATCCTTCAATCACAGGAACCATCTTTCCATCCATCTTTCCACCTCTCATCCACACGCGAGCAGTCAAACTCAGGTTTCCCCAGCCGGACGTTGACGTCATTGTGGAGACGACAGAACCACTGAGAGAGAGCGTGGCGACTGCTGGTGTCCGGGTGATTGGTTTTTAATCTGCGGAGAGGAAATTACGTCACTTGAGAAGTGACTCAAGATATCTAATAGAAACACAATGTTTAGAATCCCACATGGGCTCCCCCTACAGGTGGGAAAAAATATTAACTTTTAGCACAAGTTTTGACTGACGAGGGACAGAAATGTTACAGGATTTTACACAAATGTGACGAATAGTTTTATTTGTCGTGACGTTGTAGATGAAACCTAACAAAACAAAAGAATGAAAAGGGGTAAGGACACCATGTTTAGGCTACTATACATGCTATCATTGTCCTGCCAGAGTTTCATAATGACACTAAAGGTTTTTACACAACACAAAGACCTGACCTTCCTCTGAGGTCTTCTGCACATTCGTCACAGGGGAAGAACTTGGAGAAGAGGTTGATGAACTGTCCCATCTCTTGCTGCGCTGAGGAGGACGGACGCTCGGGGTAATACGCTGCCATGGTATGCAGAAAGGACCAGGTGTTACGTCCCAACTCCTCCCTGTCCAGCGGACACTGTGGGTCCTCTGGCGGCTCGGACCCTGTAGCTCCGACCTCCTGGAGGATGAAAATAGACGATCAGATAAACAGTCACACGCAGGTCGGTGGGTGATGTTGATGTTTGTGGTGTAGTCAGATGTAGAAGTCAGATCCTTGTATCTTAATTATCTACAGGCAGGCTGTTGGAGATTAGATTCAAATAAGATAAATGCAAGTCAACTTAAGTTAGGACATTAAAAAGTTTGGACCAAAGATGGAGACAAACTGCAAAAACTAGTCAATGTATTGATCAGCTGATGGTAAATTACATATCTGTGTGTTTTCTGAAGACGGTATTTGAACTGTAACGATCACATTTCACATTCTTGAAAGTTTTACAGGTGAATGAACAGTGAAAGCAAACACCGGCTGATAGAACAACAAGTCCTCAGGTCTCTCAGTCCTTCAATGTAAAGACCCGCCACCACCTTGACCTCATGTCACCTGTGCAGCTGCTGTCGTCTGTTTCTTCTGGAACTTCATCCACGACTTAAAGTCCGTACAGGCCCGACACGGCTTCTTCTGCTCCCCGCTCTGCTGCTGCTCTTTCCCGGGACTGTCCTCCGGTGCCGGGCCGCTCACCGGGAACGGGAAAGCCTGGAACCCGGTCGGGCTGGAGGCTGCGGGTCCTCTCGGTCCTGAGGGCGCTGCCATGTTCGCTCTCCGGTCTCAGTTCATCAGCCAATAACCGACTGAGCTGCAGCACCGACACACACGAAGAACCACACTGTGTGGACGCGCTACCCCTGTTTAACACTCGGGTCGGTGAGCTGCGGCACCGACACTTCCACACGTCCCCGGTCCCGAGAGCGATGCTGGTGGTGGGTCGCCGTTTCCCCGGACTTCCTTGTTTCACCCGGACCGTTTACCGGCACGGACCCTGTTCCGGTCGCTAACATCGGTTCCCCGTGCGTGCTGCCGAGTGTCGCCTCTGTCAAAGTGTAAGATTCAACCATTTTAAAACATTGTAAACTCTTGACATCGCGTTTATTTCACACGGATATTCGTGTGAAACGTCCTTCGCGCTGACTCGCTGCTGTTATCGCTGCTTTCCAGCTGTTTGGTAGCTCTGTTAGCCTGCTAGCCCGGATGCTAACAAAGCTAATAACTGTGGAGTGACACGTTTGTGTGTGTGATCCTCTCCCCCGGACAGTGCAGCTGTGGCACCACCTGGACCGTCGACATGGGGATTCTGGAGAAAATCGCGGAAATAGAGAGAGAAATCTCTCGGACACAGAAAAACAAAGGTGAGAGACAGAGAGCAGACCGGTGGCTAACTGTTAGCTACATCGTGGATGACCTGTCAGTCAGATGGTGTGTGTGTGTGTGTGTGTGTATTTGTTTGTCTGTGTGTGCTGTTATACGTATATATACTATAACATGGCAACCTGACAGTGACCAGCGTTATTAATAGACTATCACTGTTTTCATATCCAGCTCAAACTTGATTCGTTAACTCGTATTAAGTCATCAAACCTCATAACGTCGTCATTCATTCTCTCTTTCCTCCAGCTACTGAGTACCATCTGGGTTTGCTCAAGGCCAAGCTAGCCAAATACAGATCTCAACTTCTGGAGCCCTCGAAGTCAGCGGGGGCCAAAGGAGAGGGCTTCGATGTCATGAAATCAGGAGACGCTCGTGTCGCTCTCATCGGGTTCCCCTCTGTGGGTAAGGTAGGTCGACAACGGGGGATGTGGCTCCGGGTCCACAGCTGAAAAGATTGTGGCACTCTTCGTTTTTATTTGCGATATGATGCAGGGTAAAGAGAAACTGATTTACATAGAAACCAAAAATACGATGCATAACTAAGTCTGTGACGCTCTAAAGATTGTGATGATCTCATAAAACTCTCTGTCCTCCAGTCCACCTTCCTCAGTTTAATGACATCAACAGCCAGTGAAGCTGCTTCCTACGAGTTCACTACCCTCACCTGCATACCTGGTGTCATTGAGGTAAACACTCATACCAGTACACATAATGTCACAAATCAAAAACTTTGATAAAAACATCTTAATCTACCATTAACACTGTTATTTGTTCCTCTGCAGTACAAAGGGGCCAACATCCAGCTGCTAGATCTGCCAGGAATCATTGAGGGTGCTGCCCAAGGTACAATCTACTTCCATGTCAGATAAAGTCATTAATGATTTATTAAAACCAATTCCTACTTGCTGGAAATACCAATTGGGCCAGTAAGAGTTCCTTTAGCTCCAACCAAGCAATTGTGTTTAACTGACCTTCCACCTTTTGATAGGTAAGGGTAGAGGTCGGCAGGTCATTGCTGTCGCCAGGACAGCAGATGTTGTCATCATGATGCTGGATGCCACTAAAGGAGAGGTTCAGAGGTGTGTGAGTTAGCAAATTTGTTAGAAGGGGTTATTTGTTGGGGCAAATGTGAGTCCACTGTGTTTTCATCTACAAAGTCTCACCTTTACATTTCTTTTTCTTTCTAGATTACTGCTTGAGAAAGAGTTGGAATCAGTGGGCATCAGACTGAACCGGTCAAAACCAAATATTTATTTCAAGGTACAGTTTATCTTCTCATCTTTTTGTCTCGCTAGGTGTCATCACACACATCAGGTCATGAACATTAACAGCTAAATTTACGGAGATTAGTTTTAGAGAGATGATGCCATGATGTGAAGTGATGGTGGGTGTTGATATAAATGAAGATGATGTCAAACACCTGGACTGAATCCTTTCAGTAGTTGAAAACAACGAACCTTTGTATGATTTGCAAACTTGTCATTTCCAGGAAGAAATACTTGAATTTACAGATTGAATTTCAACATGTGTTTCTTTTTGCCTTTCCCTGCAGCCTAAAAAAGGTGGTGGCCTCTCCTACAACTCCACAGTTCCTCTCACCCACTGCTCAGAGAAGCTTGTTCAGCTCATCCTTCATGAATACAGTATCCTTCGAGGACATTGACACAAACATTGTCCCGTCCCTCTTGTCTGTCTTGCTTGCCTTCTCTCCTCCTGTCTCTAGGAAGTCAGGGGATAAAACACTCAAGTGAACTGGAGGAATATTGAATTTAAAAATTGTTCAGTTTACAAGTATTTGTTTTACAAGATATTTCCACCAGATTATTTATGTTACTATATGTATGTATGTATATGTATTCTGAACTGAAAAATAACACTCCAATATTATGTTGTATATAATTGAAGCCATTTGACTTAAGTCAACAGTGGGAAAAGTTTCTATGTGTTGGTTTCTCCTCAGTTTTTCACTCATGATTTATCTGGTTAATGACTCGCAGCTGATTTCCTTCACCGCTTCTCCTAAGAAATCTTTAATGCAGAGGTCCTCTTCAGGGAGGACAGCACTCCGGACGAGTTTATCGACGTCATCGTTGGGAACAGAGTTTACATGCCTTGCCTATATGTATGTCAATTTATATCAACCATTTATGTAAAATGGTTTGAGAAGGATTTGATTAGTTCAAAGACGCCATTCTGATTTTAGCATATTGTTGCTCAGGAAGTAAAAACGTCTCTCTTTGCTTGTGTTTGTTTAGAGTTTCTCCCTCCCTCATATAGTTTGTGTGTTTTTAGGTGTACAATAAGGTGGATCAAATCTCCATCGAGGAAGTCGACCGCCTGGCTCGCAGACCTCACAGTGTTGTCATCAGGTGTGTGAATACCAGTATCTCTGGTCGACCATGTCATCTTACTATCTGTGTGTATCTCTGTGATTTAAACGGCTTTCCCTTTTGTTTCAGTTGTGGGATGAAGTTGAACCTGGATTACCTGTTGGAGACGCTGTGGGAATATTTGGCTCTGATTTGCATTTATACAAAGAAAAGAGGAGGTAGACTTACCTTTATCCTCTTTAACCCATCAGCCTGTCACATTCACATAAATACATTGCTTTTAAATGAAATTCTCAATTTCTCTATTAGAGCGCCCAGACTTTAATGATGCCATCATCATGAGAAGAGCAGCAAGTGTAGAACATGTGGTACGTAAAATGCATATTGTGCACACATAAGTAAACTGTTGCATATCAAGATTACCAATGTTCTAAACATATGTATATTCATGATAACTCTGCCTCAAGTTTACATGTGACGTTGATATGACATAAATGTGCCTGTTGTACTTTCTCCCTCAGTGCCATCGAATCCACAGAACCTTAGCAAGCCAGTTCAAATATGCCCTCGTCTGGGTAAGTTTAGGATTTTTAGAGGCATTGACATCGTGAGCTGACTCAAACAAACGTTCTCATGTTGACCTGTACAATAGAACAAACAAAGACAGTGCTTGGATGTTACGAATGAGATATTTAATCTGATGGTGGCAGTAGAGCTCCAGTGGTGAACAACACACATGCAGTATGTTCTTACTCAATTCAACAACAAAAAAAGAATGCAACAAACTAGATTTAAAGAAATGCATTTGTAAAGTACAATTATAGCGAGCCTTTGATTTCTGTCTTTGACTTTGGTTGCATCTGCAAAGAAAAATAAATGTCATACATCTCTGGGACCATCGTGTCTGCAAGCTGAGACCAATCCAACAAGAGGTCCAGTGTTTTTAAAACCCAGCTCATTCTTGGACATTCTTTGAGCGCACACAACAACAGATATGTTCTCACCTCTGACAAGATGTGATTAAATCGTGGCTTGTAGTGTGACGACTCCACCAACAGATAATTAATGAACAATTTTTACAGAGAAAAAGTTTATTTGTAATCATTTAAAAATCTGCAATCGGAAGTAGATTTTCAAATTCGCAATTGGATTCATCTCCCTTGGGAAACATCTTGTACAATTCTCAGTATTAGATGAGGACAATCATACTGTAAAACAGAGCGGAAGAGATATTTCTTTTTCAGATGTCGTAAAGAAATACTTCTATACCACACTGCTTTTGTTCTGGATGTGAACTCTTCTGTCTTTTGGGCCAACAGGGAACCAGCACCAAGTACAGCCCGCAGAGGGTCGGCCTGACGCACATCATGGAGCACGAGGACGTCATCCAGATCGTGAAGAAGTAAAACAAGCTTCTGACAGGACCGAGGAGAGACTGAGCAGGAGGAGTTTAAATGAAAACAAAGCACTGTACAGTAGATGGAATGGAAAACACCCACCGTTCTTATTTTGTATATGATTTCCAACAAAACCAGGAGAGACAGACCAGATCTGAGTTGTGGACAGAAACAGGTTTATTTTACATTTTAAGATAAAGGAAGATTGATTCTGAGAAAGAAAACGGGAAAAACAATAAAGTCCCTAAAACAATAAATAAATCATTGTGTTTGCTCTTTATTCTCTTTTTATGAGATCAGTTTGTTTCTACTGCAGCTCACCTGGATTACACTCACCCCTCATGTGATTCCTGGACCCGGACTTGTTTGTGCACATTTGACTTTTCTTTGCCTGTATTTACTCAAATCTTCAAATTCAGTCATTTCATGTTGGAGCAAAAAGTCTTGTTAGAAAATATATTTGGTTATATTGAAGAGCGTGAGCTAATAGATGCTAACAGCTGAAAACCCACAGAGATGAGGACAACAACACATTTAGGTACCGGACACAACAAATCTGATTCTTCACCCGGGAGTCAAAACTACACAACAGACTACAGGAAACTTGGTGAAATGATGAGACATGGTCTGAGTAAAGAAACCCATCACACGCTGGTGTGGATCTGGACACTGGGTGAATTAATTTTACTATTTATTATTGCATTCTTTGACATTTTCA